AGGAAGTGGCTCCAGCACGGTCCGACGGCGCTGAGGGCAGCTCCCGGTGGCTGCTGAGGCCGGTCCGTCGCTTCCTTCCTCTTGGCCCTGCTGTCCGTAGGGTACCCAGTGCGGTGTCTGGGAGGTTTTAAAAAGCACGTGCTGTGTGTGCGTTAGAAAGGCAAGTTGAAGAATCTCACCATTTATGTGGGAGAGGGTGTAATGAGGCTTAATGACTCTTGCTTACTGTCAAGGAATTTCAGGTAAATTTTCTTACGAAAAAAGGCTTCAAAGCTGAGGACGTTTAGGTTGTCATTGGATGTTTTCACATTGTCTTTATGTCTCTGTGATCCTCTTAAATATTGTGCCAAATCATAAGGGATGCCCTGAAGAAAACAGCATAGGGGAGATGACAGGTTCAGTGATTTCTCAGTTCCAAAAGAAATGGTCTGTTACTGTCCTAGGGGAATGGTTGGAATAACTACATCCGTTATTAAGCATCCTAAAGATCATCCTTGAAAAAGGGAATGTTGTCCCTTCATTTTAGTTTGAGGGTAGGATGTATAAAAGATTGCATAAACTTTTGGACAGTCTTCTCTACCATGCTTATTTGTTCTTTAAAAAACACTACTCTTAATTCTGCAGAGGCAAAGTGCCCTGCAAGATACCATGAATAACTGTGCAAAAGAAGTGATTTCTGTCATTTAACTAGCGGCTTTCTTCAGGTACTGAATGCAGACATGTGAGAGGACGTGAGACTTGTCTCTCTGGTGATAATCAATACTGCTTAGCTTTACAGGAACAGGAATATGTGCAGTATGACTAATGAGTAGTCAAGTCTGTATTGGGGTTAGGCTATGTCGCATTTTTTGCCTGAAACTCCTAGTTTTAACAATGTATTCTTTTTCTTGGCTCCGTAGGCTGGTTGGACTCCCTTACATATTGCTGCTTCTGCAGGACGTGATGAAATTGTAAAAGCCCTTATTGCCAAGAGTGCTCATGTAAATGCTGTTAATCAGAATGGCTGTACACCCCTGCATTATGCAGCCTCCAAAAATAAGCAAGAGGTATGTTCATCTGTGCTACTGGAGGTGGTAGTGCTCTTGGAAAAAGTGTTTAGTTATATTAACTTTTCCTTCTCCTCCCCTGCTCCTGTCTCTTTCTACATATTCAGATTGCAGTCATGCTTTTAGAAAATGGAGCTGATCCGGATGCAACAGATCATTTTGAATCCACTCCATTACACAGAGCAGCAGCCAAAGGAAACCTAAAAATGGTACAGATACTTCTGCAGCACAATGCATCTCCTAATATACAGGACTCTGAAGGGAATACTCCTCTGTAAGTATTTTTTTAATTTATTTTGCTTAATATAGCATCACCTCTATGAAATAGAACTCTATTACGTCAATTTCCTTTTTTAAAAATTTCTTATTAATTTCTCAAAACACTCCCTTGCTTCATACCTTCATGTAAATCCTTCTTAAAAAGGGTTTAAGAAAATCATTTTTGCTAATTTACCTGTGTGTCTGTACATGCATACTTTAATTTATGTTACTATATGTACTTGAAATGTGCAGAATACCTTTTGCAATAATTTAGAATATGTTCGATTACCACTGGATTGTAGAAAGCAAGCTAATGACATCAAAGTCAGAGGAAGCTGGCCTCACAGGCTGGTCTGCTCTGTCCTGCCAAGCAAGAACTAATTTTGGAAGCTCTACGTCACTTCTCTAAGAAAAAAAATCTGCAATTTATGTACGTCAGTCCTGTGTTTGATACTACCTTAGAGATCAGTTTGAATCTGTAAGGGCTAGCTGCTTTGACATTGGTGGCAAAAGTCTGACTTGTCTACAGCAGAATTAAGATTTTTGCCCTGGGTAAGATCAAGCAGTATGGTTTAGCTATACATAAAAAACTTGATGTTGTCCTGGAACACACACGCTTATTTTCAAGATACTATGCCAAAAAGCATTTGCTGCATTTACAGTAACTCTTACTTCAGATTATTTTTAAGCGTCATATGATTTAGTTTATCACTTTCAGTTCAGATAGAGATTATCATTTTTCAATTTCACAGTGGATTATGTGCTCCTTAGCTTTACCAGCTGCAGAGCCAAATCCTAGTAAAAAGGAGTGTCTTAATGTTGCAAGGACGATAGCAGGAGAAATGTTCTTTTGCTCCTTAATGACAACAGAGTGACTGGACAGCAAGCTTTAGAACCTGTGTGGGTAGTTGGCTGCGTGTGGTTTAGTTGTTCTAGTTCACTCAAAGTTCACTCTGGCATTTTAACAAGGCATAATTACTGTTCATTATAGGCGTGGACTGTTTAATAGTGGCTATGGGTTTTTTGTTCTTATTACAGTCATTTAGCCTGCGCCGAAGAGAGAGTGGAGGAGGCAAAGCTTCTGGTGTCTCACGGTGCAAGTATTCACATTGAGAATAAGGAGGAGCTGACCCCACTGAAAGTGGCAAAAGGTGGCCTGGGAGCTGTACTTAAAAGAATGATGGAAGGCTAGTGCGGACTTCTGACTTGACTCTTTCCTATTGCACTCTTATTTAAGACTGCAAACTTCATATTTTGATAGTTAGCTAGGATGCCATGTATGGGTATCAGAGTGGTAATAAAATGTGTATCTCTAGCTTTCTTTCAAGTACAGCGCCAAAAGAACTGTTTGTTCTTCCTGTTAATTAAACAGTTCATTTTTTTAAGTATTTTTCAGTATCTTACACTTTTCTTTTAGTTTACAGTATGATCTGTATAAATGGAGTAATTCCTTTTAATTCAGAACCTAACTTAGGATTAGTTTTTCCAAGCAACAGGACCAAAAATGCTTCAACCGTTTAAAGTCAGTTTTATTTTGGAAGTTTATTCCAGGGTCTTAGCCTTAGCCTTTGTAATTTTTGTGTGATTTTTTTTTTTTTTTTGCGGGTATTAATTCTCTTCCTTCAGATGATTTTAAACTACACTTCTCTCTTTTGTAGAGGGCAGTTTACTCAGTTACCTAAATAATTGTATCCATTTTTATGCTTAGTCTGTTCAAGTGAGCTCTGAGTGTTCAGAGCTTTTTTGTTGTTACCTATTGTTACAATATTCTTTGAATCTTTAACTATATACATTTGATGAAGTGCACTGGACTGGTTGCAGAATGCAGTTTCATGGTTACCTCTGCGAATATACTGTTCTGTAACAGATGGCTCTGGATACTTCTCTGAGATGTATTTCAGATCTTGCTCCTTCAGCAGATCTCTTTTTCTGTTTGGCTCTCATTATCTAGCACTAACACTTGCATATTACCATCTTATTTTGTAACAGAAGCCTGATTTAATCTCTGTTTACTCACAGCGAGTCCTGGTACTAAGTTATTAGAAGACAGAGCTAATGAGGCTGAGTCTAAAAAGTGGCCTTCTGTTCTGTTGTTGGTAATACCACTTTTGACACTAGTGGGATACATCTCCCCCTTCTGAACAGACTATGCTGATGAGATTAAATTCTGTGAAATAAAGAACTTTCTTAAACAGCAATCTTTGGTGTTATAAAACTTTATTAAATTTACATGTAACAAACTCAATATTTTCTAAATAGCATGTAAACTTGGGATGAGAACAAGTCAGATGAAACTCTGTCATCTGTTACCCAGTATGGAATCACAGAATCATGTTAGGGGTTGGAAGGGACCTCTAGAGATTATCTAGTCCAACCCCCCTGCCAAAGCAGGATCCCCTAGGGCAGCCACACAGGAACACGTCCAGGTGGATTTTGAAAGTCTCCAGAGAAGGAGACTCCACAACCTCTCCAGGCAGCCTGTTCCAGTGCTCTGTCACCCTCAGAGTAAAGAAATTTCTCCTTATGTTGAGGTGGAACTTCCTATGTTCTAACTTAAACTCATTATTTTTTGTTCTATTGCTGGGCACAACTGAAAAGAGATTGTCTCCTTCCCCTTGACACTCACCCTTCAGGTATTTATATACATTATGAAAGTAGAACGTTCGTTGTGCAGCTGCAAGGAGAAGCTGAAATGGAAGATGACAATTTCTGCAGTGCGACTTGTAGAGATTAAGGTAATGCAATTTATTTTGACAGGGAAGATAGAAAATTGCAACCAAGCAAAATACTTCTAAGTCTATCCTAAAAAGCAAAGTACAGTTTAAATTTCACTGAGGGTACCTATTGAGAGCAGGAGGTGTAACTTGCCTGTACAGTAAGTTCTGGCCATGCAGACCTGGTGTGGAGGAGGAACCTAACTTAGTAAATATATTGTGCAGGCACTGCTGAAAACTTGAATTGTGAAAAGCTGAAGTTAGAATTCTGTGTTCATCCTTTTTTTTTGTATAGCAAAAAAACCCTGTTAGAGCTCTGTAGCTTTGTAAATCCACTTCCCTCAGAGATGGCGACTTGAAAATTGGCTTAATATCTGGTTTCCATCTTAACGGTCCCTACTTCCTCAAGAGGAGATAAATGGGACATGCAGCAAGACTGTCAGAACATCTGAGGCAAATTCTGAAAAATGTTTCTTCATTCTGCATAACTCTGCAGGACTTTTGAGCTACACACTGTGTATCAATATGTAATTTGGCTTTTGCTTTACCAAGAGCATCAGTAGAAAACTAGGAACAGTATCCCATCCTTTTTAGTAAACTATTTTACATAAGAGAAACTTCATAATGAGAAAAATATCTGCCAGAAGGCTTACAAAAGTATCTTGATATGTTAAGGAGCTGCAAATAAATATTATTTTTATTACTTTCCTCCTCACCTCCAGCAATCTGTTTTTGTTTTGCTTCTTATTTTTGCCTTTTTTTTAATACTAGCTATTACACACTGGTGGTTAGAAGTATGAGAGGAATTATTAGTCTAGAACTTGTGTTCCATTGTTCTTTCTTTTTATATAAAAACACTAACATGACTTGAGCGAGTCCTACTTTTTTAGCAAATGTAAGACCTGTGGTCTTCCAGGAAGACTGTATGAGCCATAGAAGGAAATTTCAACTTCACCAGCATAAGCTCCTGTCTTACTGTAGCAAGTTACATAAGGAATACGTGTAGAGATATTTGTGGAGGTGAGATCAAGGAAAGATTAAAAAATTGTTGTAATGGCCATGTAATATATTCCACCCTTCAATCACAATAGTGCTGTTGCAGAGATGTGAAAGTTGGAAAGCTGTTGCAATAAGAGAAATGTAACTGAGGCACACGTATAGAGGGGATGACTTTAGAAGAATTAATGCAACTACAGCAGTATGATGAAGAGAGTTCTTGGTATTTTTGCATGAAGGTCAGAGAAGAAATTCTGTAAAATTAATGCCACTGTAAGCTACATCATGGGCTCCCTTGGACCAAAAATTGATTTGAATTACCTCATTAGAAACACCTTTGGTAAGAAATGGCACCCAGACACAAGGAGGCGGTACTTACTCTTCTCTTGCTGTTACTGAGCGTGGTTAATGTCATAGTCCTGTGTCCTTAGAAAACTTTGGGTGTGAGTATTGGAAGTTTTCAGTAGATTTCTGAACCTAGATTGAAGGATGTGAGTTTGCAGATTATGCTGAGTACAATTGCCCGAGAAGAGAGATGCCTGATTCAGAGACTTCTGTACATGTCATGACTTATGGTTTACCCAGGCGTTACGGGTAGAGAGGAGTATGAGGATCCACTGGTAGAGTATGGCAGTGTTGGTGTTGGCAAGGGTTTGACACTCACAGTCTGGCATGAGAAGTTGTTAGCTAAAAGAAGAACACTGTAAATGCTCTTTTACTGTGGAATGAGGCTGAAGATTAAGATATGCATATCAAAGATATATTTGAAAGCCAGAAAACTGCGTAGAAAGGGCAATGAATATAGTTATTCATAATGATCCAAACTGAATCTTAATTAGGTCCTTGTGCCTTACATCTTTAAATGTTGACCTTTCTTTTCTTTTTTTTTTCTCTGTTTTGGGTTGTTTTTTTTTTTGTTTGGTCACTTTCTTCATAAATATAGCTGTAGGCACTGAACCTAAAAATTTTAGCACAGATATATCCTTTCACCTATTTTAAAGATGACTGTTGCATGTAATTAGTGTTGACAGGGTAGCAACTGTCACCAGAGGACTTCTGAACATTAGATCCTATAAAATATTTAAGTACCAGAAGGCTCCAGATTCCTGAGCCAGATAGATTTTTCTGCAGTGCACAAGACCAAAACCAGTGTCTCCTTGTGTCAGTGAATATTGGCGTCATGCAGTTCAGAAGGGAGCTGCCTCGGGTTCAATTAATTTGCTTTCCTCTTTCTGAGAGAGTGCTCATTACCCAGCTCTTGACTATTGGTGTGCATTCACTGCTTACCTTTCCTCTTGATGCTTTTGGCTGTCAAAAATAGTCAACATTATATTGGACAAAAGAAGACAGAGGGAAAGTAGCATGAGTTTTTTGCCTGGAAATAGATTTATACCATCTCAACCAGAGGAAGCCATTTAAGCTAGTGCTTGGAAGCAGTCTGCTTGGAAGGTTTGAGAGCAGCTGTAGCTGATCCTGATACGGTGTGTGCCTATTGTAACAAGCCTTGCAAGGCATTTATATTTCCAGCTCCTGTTGTCTGGAAGCCAGTTCAATCAATGTCTGAACTGGGTACCTGAATGCTAATTTCATTAAGCTGAAAACCAGAACTGCTGAAACACAGAACTCTGGAATGCTGATCCCTTAGGAACTTTAAAGCCAAGAAAGCAAGAAAGTCACTGTTTAACAAAATATATTCCAAGTTAGGCAGGAACACGGTAAAAGTTCCCAGGATTCTTTTTTTTTAGCTCTAAGCAGAATTCAGACACACAAGATTTCATTGGTCTAGGTCTTAACATCTCTTTCTGCATTCTGATGACATCGATGAAACTTGGTTTTACTTCTGACGTGCAAAAATCAGATCCTTTAAACACTGCAATGCATTGGCCATGTTCTTGGTGCATAGGAAACACGAGGTTGGCCAGCACTGTTTCTGGAGAAGATGCTGTTGTTCAGAACTGTGTGGATACCTACAGCATTACTGACAGTTGACTGGAAAGCTCTTATTTTCTCAAATGCTTCAACCCATTTCCTAATTAGTTTTGCAGAATGATTGGATAAAGGTAGATAATAGTCATTTTATACTTATATATTATAAAAAGGTAATAAATGAAATTTTCTTAACTTTAAAGGCCAAATATTCTGCTATTCACAAAGTGCATGTGTAATAGACCTTTTTCAGTCTCCAGTCTAGTGGTTCACAATACAAATTTAAGTTTTAGTCATGCTTCTGAGTTAATTCAGTTACAATTTTTATATAAAGGGGTGCAAAGCTGACAAGGAAAACTCTATTAAAACTCTAGGATCTCTCTTCTTTTTCTGCTTCTTACTTCTCATAATTTTCAGGTGTTCCAGAGGCTGCTGTTTCATCAGCACTAGAGTATTCATTTGTCACATTGCTTGGTGGAACTGTGGTCGCAGGAATGTTTTCTTCATTAGGTACCTGAACATACTCTGCATTGGTTTGTTTCCGAGCCATTTCTCT